TGCAATTGTGCTTTTGGTGGTGATTATGACAAGTATGCACAATGTGTGAGGGATTTTTTCGATAATCTCCTAAGATGCAACGTCACTCCACTTGTTTTGATTGATGGTGGCTGCGAAGACAAGAAGCTGAAGACAGTTATATCTCGAACTAAACAGAAGATTGAGATTGCATCAAATTATACTTTATCTTCTCAACATCGGACCAAATTTCTTCCTCTACTTATGAGAGAGGTCTTCAAAGATATCATGAAAGAAAAAGGCATCAGATATGCGCAGTGTATATTTGAAGCAGACAATACCATAGCTGCGATAGCACGCATTCTCAATTGTCCTGTATTGAGTTACGATTCTGACTTCTATATTTATGGATCGTTATACATACCATTCAATACATTGGAAACTGACATAGTGCCTAATCCGACAGGCAGGGGTTACATAAAACGCTGTAAAATTTATTATGTTGATAAACTTTTCCGGGTTTATTATGGATTAAATCAGTCTTTATTGCCCTTAGCAGCAGTATTATTAGGAAATGATTATGTGAAGCAGCATATGTTTAAAAACTTCTTCCGTCATCTGCCACGATCAGGAAGGAGGAGGTACAACAATGAACAACAACGGCGTATAGACATGACATTTGATTGGCTACGAAGTCGCAGTTTAAATGAAGCTGTTATAGGGATACTAAGAAGATTACGAAAACAAGAACGTAAACATGTTTTAAATACAATAGAAACGGTAATAAATAGTTATATCAATGCACCATTGAGTGTGTTATATACGCTAAATATTCCTGCAGAAATCTTTTCGAGAGCAAATATGCAGAATATGTCCAAGATTTATAAGTTTGAAGGTGATATACATAATTTGACATTTATTGACGAAAGGATAAATGATTCTGAGCTGAGTGATTGGGAGGAAATTGAAGACAGAGAAATAGCAAACATACTTGAAGAAAAGAAGTTGATTTCTAATGAGTCTTTGGTTGACAATTTACCTCAGTGGTTTATTAACGAATTTAAACAAAGTAGATTTCCTTCCTATTTTATAGATTTAATAATAAGGAAGTTGTATGTTTGTCCTACACAAATTGAAGATTCTTTCTGCGTTTCATCTATTGTTGTAAGTTTAAAAATTATAGGTGTTATTTATGGATTACTGATATCAGGAGTTCAGGGAAGGAAGTCCAATATGGAATATATTACCAGAGACGAGAATAAGAAAATAAAGCGTTATCAATTGGAGTATAGCGACAATATACTTGGTTGTAAATTACCTCCTTTACTCAATTTAAGAGAAGTATCCATTGTCATCAGAAGAGAAATTTTAAATACCACTTTGACAATCTTCAATGCAAAATATATAAATGAAATTCCATCAATTTGGATGTTATATATTGCAACCATAAAGTATTGGATTGATCAAAAAGAGGAACCGTCTAAATTCAATTGTCATGTATACTCTTTATTATTTGCTTTGTTATTTAACATAATAGATTGTAATATAGGCTTTTATAGAATCTTAAACAAATTCTATCAGAGATTTAATAGAACTGTGGACAATATTCGACACGAAAGAAGAATGGGAAATTATCAACCACAGTATTCAACTGATGCTACACTTGCAGATGCCATTCGCGAAGTTGATGCTAACGACTGCTTAATTACAGCTGCATTCTTTATATCTAATTTTGAAATAGATCAGAAACTGCATTTGCAACCGAAAAAATTTAATATCACAATTGTTCATGGTTTTGCAGAGTTTCAAAATTGCTTGAGACATAGCATGAACTTAAATGCATTATTGGGATATCCTTATGAACCAACCAGAGTTGCTAGTATGTTCAATGGTACATTATTGTATAATTTATGTAGCAATTTTAAAAAACGTGACAATGTTGAAGCTTATATTAATTTAATTTTGCAAGATTCCCCGAGTTTGTCGCGTCTATTTAACATACTTTTATTAAAAGTCAAACCTTTGTTTAATACTGCACTAGAAAATAAAGCCGATAAATATAAGAAGCAAAAAGTAAGAAGATATGAAAAAAAGAAATGTACTTCACATGAAGAAAATCATGAAGAAGAAAATCCGCCACAAGAAAGCACCAGCGAAGAATTTTACGATGTAAACAATTCATTTTCTATACTTGGTACCACACAGCATTAGGCCTTTTATTGTATTACAATTAAATTGCATAATTGCGTCTCTACCATTTATATATTTCATAAATTTATATCATTTCTTTATATATATATTATTTTTACACATACAAATATATATATATATATAAAATGTCATGTCATATAGAATGTATATAAAAATATGTCTAAAAAAATAGATCAGAAAAAATCTGAATCCTCGCTGCTATCAGTTTCATCGTTCTTAGAGGAATTTATATACTTGTTTTGTTTCTGATGTGATAGCGATCTTTTGGTACTTAATTTTTTTTTCTCTTATTAAGCAACTGATTATTCTAAATTAATAAAAGGATCTTTATTGGTTGACTGCACTTTGTTGCATGAAAAATAAAAAAGTTGACGTAAAAGAACTTGACGTATTGTATTACGTTTTTGTACATTTCCCAGAATGCGCTGATCGCTGTTTTAACAGCATTAGCCTCTTCTCGTAAAGTTGGTATACAATATTGGTCATCTCCATATTTAGCGATCAGTCCAACGCAAACAGCATACTTCAGTTTTTCTTGTAATTCTTGCTCGAGAGTTTCTAAATCGGTTTCAACTGGATAATGTCTCTGTATATGATCTCTTAAATTTTTTAATTTAACAAACAATTGACGTTTTTGTAATTCTTTTATGGCTGTACGTAACATCTGCGGCGTTATCGAGATCACTTCCATCTGAATACAAAATAAGCTTTGTTAGAATATTTTATTCTAATCGAACATACATGAACAAAATAAAATAAGGAAAAATATTATATCTATGTATATATACTTCCATTACAATAAAATATGTATTAAAATAAATCAATCAATATTTATAATAAAAAGATATAAATAAGATTTATAATAAAATTGTCTTGTAAAGAAATATCTTCTTAGTGAAATTTTTGAAAAAACGTCTAAGAATTTATTGTTGACGTGTGTATATATCATTAAGCAAATAAAATTTTGTAATATTTGAACTTACAACTTTTAATTTATATTATTAATAGCATTGATTTGATAACTCTGTTATTTTGACATTTTGTTTTGGATGTAACTGACATTTTTCATAATACATATGTATACATTTATTTCGTTGTTTTACCATGATGGAATTAGATCATGATGTCTAATTCCACTATGGTTTTTACTTTTGAATTATTATATATATATATACGAAGCTATTTTATTTGTAAAAAATAATACATATCTATTTAGAGAGAATTAAAGCAAATTTAGAAAAATATTGTATAATGTAAACTTTATATGTGTGTGTGAATATTTTATTTATTTATTACCCAAAATGAATGACATCAGTCATAAACAAATAAAATATGCATATAATGCAACATTTAAGAGAAATATGCATATTCAAAAGTTCACATAAAGATAATAAAGCTGGAAACACAATAGCACAGGCAACAGAGAATAACGAGCCGTCCAATCAGAGCTTTGGAGTATAAGTTCGATATTATATCTCAGAGCTCTGATTGGACGGCTCGTTATTCCTTGTTGCCAGTGCCTATTGCCTGTGTCTATTGTGTTTCCAGCTTGAGTCCAAGTTTCATGTTGCATTAATAAAGGTTATTCTTATTTTTTTTTCATAAAATTGTAAAAGAATAGAAGTTAGTGGCTGATATGTTCCTCTTGCATTTATAAATATATTATTAACTATATATGTACATATGTCAAAAAGGAATTTTTTGTCCATAATATTATATTTAGTATATAAAAAAAAAAATAAGTAGAATATTTTTAAAATTTTTACCAAATTATAAGTATAAAAAAAAAATTAGTTAATTTATTAACTTATTGTGACAAATTATGACTAAAATAATAGCTATTCCACTCTTTAATAGAGTAATTTTTTAGTTATATTATACAAATTTGTAAGCGTAATTTGTAGTTTGTATTTTAATACATTTTCTTTTGTGTATATAATATTAGTGGTATTAATTTTAGCAAATGTAGATTAAGAATATACATTAAGAAAAGCTTTACCTCTTTCTCTTCACAATTCAAGAACAATCAATTAAGTTGTATAACATCGAAAAATGTGTATAAACAATAACCAAAATTGTTAACATACAATTAAAAAGTATCAATATTATAAATTAATCTATCTAAATGCTTCTTTTTGACAAATTATATATATATTTATACAATTTATATATTTATATATTATATACTTTGATATATTAAAATTTTTTTAATAATATGTTCACACATAATTTATAACAAGAAATTCCATATTTCTAATATATACAAAATTATAGATAGCTGTATGCATAGAATGGTTTATAGTTTATATATATTAAACTATACTATTTTATTGAATTTAAAATTTTCAAAAATTACATAAATATGTTTATTGATTAAAAAAAATTACGTCCGGTGAAATATCAAGCGAATTGGATAGATTCTTTTACACGCACACACACACACACACACACACACACAAAAATCTGATACTATTGCTATATCGAAATATCACATGACAAGCTTAGCAGTAAATGAAATATAAAATGTCATAAGCTTTCTATATCGGAGTTTTTAAAGAAAATTTTTATCAATATTATAAAGAACATTTTGATGCAAATTATTCGATAATGATAATAAAGTTAATCGATTTACAAATACGAATAAGACAGCTTAATATAGATTATTTGAGATCACACCAGAATCAAATTACAACATGATATTATATATTAATACAGATTTAAATATAGCGGGATTTATAATAAATTAGCTGTAAAAGTGACATCTGAATATTTTACAATTATGTGATTATATTACAATTTGGTACTGGCTGGTTGCAATAAAAATTATACTAATTATATATATATTTATATATAATTCGAGAACTTATAATTCTTCCAGTAAGGCTTATATACAATATAGATTGTAACTTCCTGGACTTAAATTTTCTTATATTTCTGCATCTATATAACAAAATACCATTGCACGGGATGTGTAACACATGTAGAACTCTTAATATATGTATATATTTTTTTTCTCTTAATATTTTATATTTCTATATTAATGGGAATGTTTCACGTATATTGTGTTTTGAAATAAAAATTATATTATTTTTTTTTTATACTTTCGTAAAACGATTCATTCCACCGTGATCATAAGATACCGACACCACGCTGCAAGAATTTTAGAAGATAGGAAAACAAGTGATACATACAATTCAAATACAGTGTGACAAAAGATAAAGAAAGAACAATCTTATTAAAATCCTTCAATCTTTAGTTGGATCATTATGCCATATGTTTAAAAAATATTGCACGGAAAAAACGATAACAATAATAAGTATAGTATCCACAAAACTCTTGAACATATTTATGTTGTGATGCTGTTCACCAGATTCTCTTTGCTTTCTTACAACTTGTTCTACAATCTGCTGTATACGATTCAATTTCTCACCATGTTCTATCATTTGATGCTCAACTTGTTTCATTATGTCAATTAATTATATATATATATACAAACTCAAACATTATAATGTTTAAATTTTGTAATAATTATTATGTAGTTAATAATTAATAACATTTACATTTTAATGTTCTTACCTAGTAGTTGAACGTTTTCTTTTTCCTAATGATTGACTAGAATCGGTATGTGCTTCGGCAGATGAACTTCCAGAATCATGAGCCTCTGTTAAAGGCATATTATTTGATAGCTGCCTCTTAGAAGATTTGAGCACCGATAAGGAGGAACGTGATTCAGCTTGTAACAATGGAATCTGCAATGATTTGTAATCTAGATGATTAATCAATTAAATATATATGAATGATGGTCTCTTAAGCTTGAAATCTAATCTTAGAAATCTTTTTAATTCATTTTTTAAACTGTCTTGTTTTTTTTTTGTTAGGAATTGTACTCAAACTAATTGATAAAATGCTTTCTAGATTAGTGAGCATATATGTTAATTAAAGCACAAATAGCAAATACATGTATGCATGTATGTTCAAAATTAAAAAAATTTTAATGTGGAAAATTATATATTATATTAAATATAAATTTTTATTATAATTTTTTATTAGATATATATTTGAAACTTACTTTGAATATGTAATAATTTTAAATTTATATAGTTTATATTAATCATAAAATAGAATTTTAGGACCAATAAATGATTACGCAAAAATAATGTTACTTTGATTAATAAATAGAAATAATCTAGAATAGAATAATAAATAGAATAACCTAATTAATACTAATACCAATGTAAATTACAAGTCAAGCAAAACAAGTTTATTAAAAATATCAAAGCTGTATACAATCTAGTTAAATCCATTAATAGCAAATAGAATAAAACTGTATAACATGCAGTTGTTCAATAGTACTGCCGGAAAAAGAATAGAATAGACACATAAAGCGGTTAATTATTACTTATATAAATGTGTACAAATATTAAAACAGCATGCATAGTGTAAACTACATCTTACATCGCTGTACCTGTGATTGGGGATCAGTAGAAACAATACTACCAGTACGCATAATAGGTGTTTTATGCCTGGTCTTTGTGCGCACTACATAATTTTCTTCATATTGTACTACATCGTTTCTTGGATCCCATGGTCTTATATCAGCATGTCGATAAACCCAATTTCCAGTTATAATATCCTAATCAGGAAAAGTTGGAAATCAGGAAAAGTTGGAAATTACTTTGCAATTTAAATATTAATTTAAATATTAATATCCAATAAATATTTGAGAATGTATAAACATAAACATTAAATATGAAAATGATGTATATCGTACTTGAACGAAGTATTTTGGAATCCATTCTTGTCCTAGACTCTTTCGCTCTTTAGCGCGTTCTCTTTGTGCTTCCTCGAGTCGAGTTTTAGCATCAGTAGCGGCAACCTGGTCGTCCCTATTAATAGCTTGTGTAACAGCCAACCACAATTTTTCACTTTCCCATGTTCCCTGATGTTCCAAAGGAACAGTATATTTTTTCAATCTTTTTTTACGTATTTCCGGAGTAGGATTGAAGAAAATGTTTTCTTGCTGTAAAATCAAACATGACGTTAATAGTTATCTAAAATTATCAATTAAGATTTAAGTTTACTTTACCCCTGTCCGTTTGTCCGTTATTAATATTAATCCATCCCAGTATCCCATAATAGTAGCCAACGTTTCCTTTCCTAGGCGTATTCGTCCCACAACTTGATTCATTAATTCCGCACCGCCAAGAAACGGCTAAAAATATATATATTATTGTAACATTTTTTATTATATTAACATTATTTTTAGTTAAATTAATATAATTAAACCTTATTATAACATAAAAGATAAATTAAGACTTTATTATACTTTTAAAATAAATCGCAATTTTATTAATAATATTGATAATTGTGCAAAAAAAAAACTAACTATATTATGTATATTACTTTAAGTTTAAATTCTAATTCTGTGTGATAGCCGGTCTTCTCGCATATTATGTTCACTTTTCCACCGAGTTCCATAGATAATGTCCCCATAAGAATGCCTTTGCAATGTGCATAAGGAATTGTCATTGTATAATCTTCGCCTCTCGGCAACATCGTCAATACAGCGATACCATCCAAAACTGCAGAGGTCGAATTTCCTGTAAGACATGTATATTATAAATAATGTTATCACTATGTATACCGGCTAGAAGTATATATCAATATTACTATAGTCTATAATTCAGGCCTGGTAAGGGGATTCTCTAAATGTCTTATCAATGATTGTCGCTATCGTTAACTAGCGATAGCCAATGGGGGTACAATCCTGGGAGAAAGAGCAGCTCTCATTGGCTGTCGTTAGTTAATGATAACGACAATTATCGATAAAAAGTTTAGAGAATCCCGCAACTAGAGTCGAGTTGCACATTTCGACCGATTTTACCTATCGTCATTCCCACTCCTTTTGTTTCATGGCATTTAAACCGCGCGCGGAGATATAAAACGTTCGAACTCAGGGATGATATTAGCACACGCACACATACTAATTTTATTTTATTGATTTATTTATTAAAAATTACTTTTTAAATATTTTTTTCAGTATGCAAACTTAATTTACATACGCGTTCTACTTTAAAGTGTTATTTTTTAGTTTCTAACATAATAATAATAATAATTTTTAAACAGTGAATGTAGGGCAATATATTTTAAAGTCCCATAGCCCTATAGTGTCCTGTGTGTGTATGAATTACGGCTAATATCATCTCTAAATTCGAGCGTCTTGTATCTCCGCGCGCGGTCTAAATGCCATGAAACAAAACGTGTGAGGATGACGATAGGCAAAATCAGTCGAAATGTGTAACTCGGCTCCAGGCCTGGACTCTATATTAAACAAATTACCATAAAATTTAGATTTTGCAATGATCGTAGCGCTGATAGTAAATCCATCTTGACGATTTGTCACATAAAATCCTGAGATAGGTGGATGATGTGATAACTAGCAAGAAAGTTTTAGATATATTTGTTAATACCAAACACGGTATTTTTTCATAAAAAAATAGTGAATAATTAGCTACACACACACGCGCGCGCGCGCGCGCACACATACACGCACACACACACACACGAAATCTAATTTAATTAATCAATAATTAATTTACTATCTTCTGGATCATACTTGTTCGGCTAAATAGAATGTTCTTGAACCATTAGGATGTTGCCAATAACAGCGGAATGTTTCGCCCAAAAGCGGATTGTATGGCTTTTTCAAGCCTTGTGGTTTTTTGTAAAATCCCGATAAATACCATTTCACTACGGCTTTCATACGTGTAAATGCATCATCTTCCAATACTGCTCTGTAAAATGAAATAAAATTTAGAAATCATATTTCTTTATTGCATGTGTTAAGAAAATCATAATGTACTAATATATTATATTAGTACGTTTTACTAACTGGGACAATAAATCGGCGTGATAATACGAATCGGCCAGTTTTTCCAAAAATGACCGTGATTCCAGAATGAAAGTCGGCAATACAACTTTAGACAGATCCATGCCAGGACGAACTTGTTTCATTAAGAACCATATCAAAGACTTTTGTTCTTCTTGCAGTTCTGTAACGACTTCACCGGCCTATTAATTAATAACAGTATAGTAACTACACGAAATAAATGCAGTATAAAATTATATATTCATGATAAATCGAAGTAATTCAGAAAAACTTTTATAAAAAACAAAGTTCTATGAATTGTAAATATTTCATTATAAATATGTATTCTAATTAAGAATTGTACTGTGCGGAGTTACTGCTTACCGTTCCAAGAATTTCATTTTCATTAGCTACGTATGGTGTTTCGGTGATTGGCTCCGATTGATCTTCTTTGGCTGATGCTTCAGATTCACTGTCCGAGGCACTGATTTCAGCATCAGCTACTACTCCATTCTCCGGCTGACTAATATCGTCCAGGTCTGTATGCGAGGGGTACACAGGATCTAGCGTTACTACTTGACGGGTATCATACTCTAAGACACGTATAGAAGGAACAGTCATGCGACGTGCTGGGAAAACTGGTGGATGAGATGCAGGAGCAAAACATGAAGATCCAGACGGTTTAGTATCACCATCTAGTTCTTCATTAGGGGTCGGAGACGTAATGTTTTCTTGATCTGTGCCAGGTGTGGGAGATCGATCAAGTAAACATTTTTCGCAATATGCAACTGCGTGACAAAGATGTTGAAACATTGGAGTAGGTGAGGGACAAATGCTTCTATCGCAAGTTACAGCGGGTGAGAGTGATTGTGGATGAGATAACAAACATCTTTGAGGGGTCGTAGGTGTTCTTGGAGCATAGCGACTTAAATATACTGTTAATGCAAAAAGCAGGATAACAGACAAATAAAAAAAGAAAAATAACAACGATTATTATTATTGTAGTTAGTAAATTTAAATGCATATATATATATTTAAGATTAAATAAATTAATCATAGTTAGTTTTTACAAAATTTTAATATCTTAAAATTTGAACACACAGAAATATAAAAATATTCCTGCATTGACTATTTCAATATAAATCTGTCCAAACTTGAATGCTATTATAATGTTCATACTAATTAGTTCAACTGTGGTCTGACACTTAATATTTAAAATTAAAATAATAGTAAAATATGACCAGCTGCAAATCGTCATTAAAGAAATTATCATCAATTCACATCAATTTAGTTATTAAAGTCCATTGAATAATAAAGTTAGTTGGAATGATACTTTTATATAAAAATAATTTTTTAAAGGTTACATTAAACTCATGCAACACTGCACAAATGAATGTTATTCATTATTATGAACTATTTTTGTATAGTAATATAAATAAAATTTATATGGATCAAAAATTTGAAATTAATTTTTATATTATATATAACTTCAAATTTTTGATCCATATAAATTTTATATACGTACATATAACATACATATATAACAAAAAATATTATAAGTTATTAAAATATTGAATTAAAAATCTTTTCACGCGATTTTTGTGTGGTTATATAAAATTTATACCAGAAAAATAATTTAAAATTAATTACTTTCATCAATAGAAGTGTAAATTGATAAATCGCTATGCATTATTCACAGATTTTACTTTTTGTACAACATACTTTTCTAATTATATTAAATGCCTTTATAAATCCAATTCTCTATTTATTTACTATTCTATCAACAAAATCGATTGCTTATTCTTTTGTTTTATAAAAAAATTTCGATATATATCTAATAAATGTAATTTTACATTTATTATACAACTTTATATTTTAGTTATGAATTAATCAAAATAATTTGAATGTTGTATGTACATCAATCATCCACTACAAGATATAATCATGCATAAAAATTTATATTATATATACGGGGTGTTTTCAAATTCGCGCCCGCGAAGTACAAGACGTGATACTTTATGCTAAAACAAACACCTTTTTCCTTTAACAAAATTGTGTCCGATAAATAATTTTTGCACTTATTTGTTGACTTCAATCTGCTCTCCTGCAAAAACTACTTATTGGACGCAATTTCGATAAAGGAAAAAGTTGTTTTTTGTGCTAAAACGAACAACTTTTCCTGTAGTAAAATTATATTCGATAAATAATTTTTGCGTTTACTCGTACGACTTCAACCTGCTCTCCTGCAAAAACTACTTGTCAGACGCAATTTTGCAAAAGGAAAAAATTGTTTCTTTTAGCGTAAAGTATGACGTCTTGTACTTCATGCAGGCGCAAATTTGAAAATACCCTGTATATATACATACATATATATATATATTTTTTTTTATATATAGACACACACACATACGTGCGCGCGAGGTGTTCTTAGAATAACTACTTTTTTATAATAAGATTTCTTTTTAAGTATTAACAATGAGGCAATAATAATTTATAAAGAAATAAATGATAAAGATCAAGAATATTTATACTACAAAAGAATTGATCTCAAATTAGTTACTTCATGGATGAAAAACATGCAGAAAATTTAGAAAACCCTATATATATGCTATTATATTATTAGAAATTACATTCCTTAAGTTTCGTTAAACGCGAGATATTTCATTTTTATTATAAATTATATTTAAATATTGCAAGAGTAGGAAGCTATGTCAATGATACTGACCATGATCGTCAAAGTGCTTTTCATAATCAGCCTCGCTCCATTGAGTTTCATGAGTGGTGGTTGCATCGTGTGGTAAAGGACGCGGTAATGCGCTTGTCGAGCGTACTATTAACGAAGAACAACGTAACGACAATTCAAGTGCGTCCAACCAACATTTGCCTGCCGCTTGAGATGGTGCTCGAAAGATTAAGTAAGATGTTGGTAAAGGTTGTACTACAGCACCTGAAAAATATTTATTTGTTTGCAATTGTAAAATTGTGCTAGTACATATATACACATTATATTACATATATGTCTATAATCCCATCATTAGAGGGAGGAACATAAGAACTTCCACAAAATGTTAACATTCCGGTTATTACTTATAGAAGTTTAAAAAAATCACAGAATTTAAGACTGATAGGTGAGAACCAATCACGCCCAGTTACATACACATATATCATTATTATATCTAAAGATTAGATTATAGGTGTTATCTATTAATATATTGCAAAAAAATTGCTACACAAAAGCAGTATATGTATATAATGATAGAGTAATGTATATAATGATAGAGATATATACCAATAGCTTCTTTTTCTGGTCCTCGAGGAGCCCATATAGATTGCTCCAACGGATGAAATAATTTAAAACAAAATCCATCTTTTTTACTCGGACGTTCTATAACTTGACATGTATTGAGTAGTACCGTTCCAACCCAATGATTACTCTGTAATAAATATCGCAGATACAATAAGGTTGAAAAAAAGAGTTGAAAAGAAAAAAGAAATGCAAATACAAACCTTCGTTTTTGGACTTTTGTACAGCAGCAATAATCCAGGTTTCAGAATACACCATAACTTGGTCCAACTTTTCAATGTACCGCGAACTTTTAACCAATCACTCATAACAATAACGGTTGGATCTTTGAAAGAACTTAAAAGTTCATCGGCTACTCTTTTCTTTTCCATTCGATAATTCTTTCTTTGAGCCTTATACGATTCCTTTCGGGTTAATTTGCAAGAATCTAACGACTAAAAATATATTATAAAAATATTATTCATTAAAAATACAAGTTCAAATTAAAGTAGATTATATCTTATCGTATTTCAATGAAAATAAAGTAAAAAATAGAGTTGTAGAAATAAATAAAAGAATAAATTATTTTTACTGATTTTTTACACGATTTAAAAAAATATTCCTGAATAAAAGTCACGCATCAAATTTGTAATCTTTTGCCAATGAAACTTGCAGTCAACTTTTGCAAAAATTTATTTCTGAGAGCTTTCTAGCTTTAATAAACAAAGAAATTGAACCTCAAGAATAGAGATTTATTTACCTTGTCTGATGAATTATCCATTTTTTGACTACCTTCGCCCATACCAGAGATCCCTATAACATACATAATTTTGAATTATCTGTTTATAATTATACTTTGTACAGTCGTAATTAGGCGAATTAGAGTGTGCCGAAATAGAATGTGTACGTAGAGTTTATTCCCAAAAAATTTTTAATTTTAATAAATTAAATTCATTTTTATAATATATTATTTTTAATATACCGTATACACAGTGTGTATTATATAAATATTTTAATACAGTGCATACATTATGATAAGTACTACTTTAGTTCATTAATAATCTGATCTGGATATTTAAAAATAAGATTATATTATATTAATTTTTATACATGATATATCTGGTATATTATTTGCATAATTATTTTATTAATATACACTTATTTACAGATATATATTTTAACAAATAAACAAGCCCATAATTTTTATTATAAAATTAAACTTAATAATTTAAAAATAAAGAATAAGACAAAATCAAGTGTAGCATTTTTAGATAAAAATAATGCATATATATATATATATACTTAAAGATTATTAAAATAATTAAAGAAATCACACTCTTTGTAATAAAACAATGCAAATATGTACAAATATGTTATTCCATATTTGTCTTATATACATGCATGGAATTCTATATATTCATCTAATTCTAGTTAAAATAGAATCTAATATAAAGTTACACAGATATTAGTTTTTCTACACCATAAACTAAACAAATCAAGACAATCTATTTAATTAAAAAATTTCAGTTCATAATAATTATAAAATTTACAAAACATGTATTTCACAAAAAAGAAATATAAAGTAATAATATTCAACAATATGTAATAGGGTAGGGCGGGGCTATTCTGTCAATTTCAACTTTAAAGTAATACAAAAATTTACGATAGCAAATAATATCTCTTTGCAGTGATGTGCTTATAATTATACAATCATAATTGCTCCTTGAGGGCACACAAGTACAACTTTTAAATAATCAACAAGTTTTGTTCAGAAATATAAACATTATCGCGAGAAATGGACGAAAAAGCCCCGCTACCCTAATAAAATTTATTATCTTGATTTGTGTGTTTTACGAGTTTATTATATAAATAAATTATATTTATACAATACATATATATTAAGTTATTTATTCTTACTATTTAAACAAGCAGTATTTATTTACTGATTCGATGTATATACATTTATGATTTTTAAATCGTATATAGTACAAAAATCAATTTTCGAAAAATTATTATTATATTAAATCGTATCTATTATGCTAATATATGCATAAGATATAGAATGTTTTGCAAGATTTGCATCAAATCTTGCTAATACGTTTTAATAATTTTTTTATTTTAAATTAAATTAAATTTTTATTTTTGGAATTTAGATTGTGTGCAATCTAGTTACAGATTTAAATATAATTATTAAAATATAAAAAATTTTGATGTATCAATTTTCGAAGCTGCAAGACAATTAGATATTATTGTAACAAAATACATGCTTAAAAGAAAATATTCACTACTTTACAAAGAGATATTTAATATTAAAAATTAAATTTTAAGACACATGCAATATGCCAGATTTCTACTAAAAAATAAGTATCATCTACCAATCCAAAAAAGATAATTAAATTTTACGCAAACTTTATAAAACAGTTCAATACAATGCGACGTAACATTTGTATTATCGAGTTGTTACTCTGAGTTATATAATCAGGTCAATGCATATGTATGTTCTTTTTTTTGTATTGCTATATTAATTACATAAACATTTTTTGCGTATCTGAAGCTTACCTTACAAGCATCATGTAAAGTGCAGACGATAAGCATTAAATGACATTACTATACAGTTTACAATTCGCAAAGAAAATTGCATTGAAACGAGACGCAAACACAAACGTTAAGAAAGAGCAATATAAGCCATACATAATTTCAGAATTTTTCTAGCATATATGCATCCATTATATTGCAAAAATAAAAGCCTATAATATTAATCAAGTTTGGAAAGCTGCTTGTAACTGTTCAGAGTTATTCCAAACTATAGCAATGATGTATTACTTTCGAAAATATTTCTTGATTTATACCTGGAGAAACTGGAGGTGCACCGGCTGTAATATTTATGCTTGTTGCAAGGGACTCAGTTGATGGAAGTTTAGGTAATGGTGTAGACTGTGCTTGGATGCTGCTTCTTCGAAGTTGTCGATCCGCTGGTTCTACATATTTAGCACTCATTCAATTGCACTCAATATTTATTATCACATCTTACGTCACATTAAAATCGTGACTCGAAGAGCTATTCAATGATTAGTCAACGGTATAGACAGCCAGAATTTATATTTTCTACGTTACAAATAGATAATATTAACAATAATATTATTACATGTGTAATAATAAAAATGATGTCCTATTATTATCCTATATGTGATGGCGAGATGATAGTTGCAAAAACACGCGATTAATCTGCAGTTAAATGAGAGATATTGCTTGCATGTTTGTCTACCTTGTTGCATATATGTATACAAAAGAAGAAAAAAGATATGCATGCTTAATTTATATTATACATGCGCAATTGAGAACGTGCTTCATATTGCTCCATGCAGCCAAGCAAATTACATACCGAATATTTACAAAAAAAGAATTAAATATTATTCTCAAAGTAACATAATCAATAATACATAATAATTCAATAAATGTTTCAAGAAATATTAGTGTACGTAAATTATTATTAATAAAGTAGTTTAGACATATTTGCAGATCTTGTATAAACATAATTTCCACACTACGTTTTTTTTTCTGTTATTTTATATCTGTGTATCGTGTTTTGTAACAAAACGATAATGTTTAATAAAGAGACTCATTGTGTGAAAAATGTTATCCAGAACACCAACTGAACTTTGCATTTCATTCAAGGGCTTATAGTAGTCAATGTAAAGTCACACAGTGTCCTGATTGTATTGTATATGGTAGAACAAAACCAGTATAGAAAAGTGGGTAAAGAAGGAGTTATTATCCACAACTAACTACAGTGCTTATAACAGAGTAGGGATTCCTACTATAATATGAGAAATGGTTTGTTACACTCTCAAGTATTGATTTCCATTTTTCCGGACGTGCTACAGTATGTATTTCATTCATATTAATAAGCTACTATAAGTGTACATCTGATATATCATTGCCAGGATTACTAAGCATTTCACATATGAAATCTGTTGCAAAAGGGAGACACGCAAACAATATATAAATATTATTTTAATAAAACTGTTATGTTATACTAAATGTATGTATTACATGTGTCACATGTGTTAAAGAGAGATATTGAAAGTATTAAATATATATTACTTTCATTTTTCCTCCTGAAAGACATTGTTGAATGTCTAAAATATTTTAGAAAAATGTGATTGTTAAGATTTAAAAAAAAATAAATGCATTTTAAAGAAAATTATACGTTTATAAATACTGAACTGTAACACATAAAAATAAATACTCTGACCTGTGTATATAAAGGTAGACATTATGTAAACACTAGAAATTGTATATAATTTGTGAGTGTTACATAAATCTATTGAATCTCAGATTACTAATAACAGGAAAGAGTTTTGCAAAAACATGCCATAATTACATCTATCTTAATTGATATAGTTCAGATGTCAATGACAAAGTTCTTACAATAAAATAGTATCATAAAGTTGATACATTTTTTTAGGAAATACACACATAATCTTTGTGTATATTTATATGTACATATGTACAATTATGAGGCTCTTTTAATTTCATATTTTTACGCTTTCCTATTTCATATTTTTAATATGAAATAATTTGTACAATTTTATATTTTTGTAAGTGTACTCAACAGCTGTTCTTAGTTTCACAATTTCCTTATGAGCTAATTATCAATAATTAAATCGTTACAATTAAATAACGAGTAAGACACATGAATAATCATTAACATCATTACAGTGTCTCGTAACAATCAAATTGTTTACATCTTGGCATCATTGAATATTTGACGTGTTCTTACTAAAATGTGAAAGCACAATACGTAATACAATAACAAGACATAAATAAAGTAACACTTACGACTGAGGGACCTGCTGACGTTTGGCGGTGTCATGGTCTTGTAGGTGTCCGCTGAACTTCCAACAGGTACAGAATGAGTCTCCGGCTGAAGACGATGCTCTCCACCAGGCACCACAATCGGTTGCGAGCTCATTGCAAAATTTAGGATCGACGATTCGTACGTCGTCAATTTTAACCTGACATAAAGACACGCGCTACATCCTTCCACGTCAAAGCTGACGAACGTAGTCCATCATAGCCCATCTAGCTAGACATGGCTAGACAGTTAATCGCCGTGGAGATGCTTGACACGCGTCGGAACACGGAAGAAATGCCGCGCGCACGAGACAGGCAGCAGTGCGTGTTTACGTTCGTCGTATTCACTGCTACGCGAAACGTGCGTCGCCACGTATTTCAACGATTGGCTGAAGACAGACGTGTCAATTCATCGTGGCAACGAATTAACGCGGTAATTAGCGCGCGTCGCAACGCGACGGAGAAACGTGGACGAGGCACATCGCGACTAACCACGACTAACCGGCGGCGCACGAGAGCCTTCAGCCTTCAGCGCTTCCGCTGCACGCTGCACGTCGTCGTTGGTCGTCGCCGATTGTTCCTCTCGGCCGATCTGGGCCGATCACTTCCGTGCGGATCGCCGCGCGCAACGAAGCCGGACGGGACACGATGTCGCGTACGGACGGCCGCGATCGCACACCATCGATCTACCCCGTGCGGTCCACTCGTTCTCACGGTTCACGTTTCCCGAAGCGCGTGCGAGAGAGTAGGAAAGCGCGAGAGAGCGAGAGAGACAGAACGGAGAGAGAGTGCGCGCGCGCGCGCACATGTGCAATTCCGATCGCGTCGCGACTGCAACTGACTGCAACGTCTGCAACTTGCTGCAATTACACCCGCAACGATCGCGGCAACGTGACGCGACCGACGCGAGCCAAGCTTGATGCTGGTAGGACGAGTAAGAAGCCGGGGAGGAAGGCAGGAAGCCTCGACTCTCGCTCATTGCATTTAACCGACGGTGTCGCTGCCGGCTGCGCATCGACAAAGAGGACACTTATACCTCGTCGTGTGACGCACGATGAGATCCAACGTGATCCTACTGTTGTACCATGTTCTATCGCCGACGGCGATGACTCTTTTTAAGTTCACGTTTCTCCGTGGATGAATCTCCGCTTCTCGTTCAGTTTAACGGACGGTCGAGCGCTCCGCTGGAATGTCCGGCATTTTTTTTTTTTTCTTTTCAAGGCGCAGCCGGCCGTGACCGATGACGTTTCGCGTATATATACATAGGCCCGATTGAATGGCTCTCGTTATCACGTTCCGCATCCTGCCGGTTGACCTCTTCTTTCTCTACTTTGAGAGGACTGATCGATCGTTGATACGTGTGAATTTTTAATAATCGCGGTCGCCACGCCCCACCCACGATCGTTCTAATATTAACTGACATATTCATCTTAATGCCCGTATCTCCGCCGACTCCGCCTCCGCCACTGCACGTTACATAGCGGCGTATCGTAATCTGAAAGAGATGCTAATTCTAGATTGATTAAAACCGGCGACCGGCACGGCGATCCGCAAACTAGCGCATCGTTAACCTCGACGTTCTGTAATGAAATTTTCTCCGATCTAACGAGGTTCGATTTTCCTAATTTGCTGAAAAAATTTACACGCGTATATAGTTACGAGCGTACTCCAAGTACTCGGAGCCATCTGGCTCCGAATTAAACGAATTAATTTCAGACCTTCCCGTTTTTCCCTCTCACCGTTCGCGTTATGCGCAGAATCGTGATGCAGCGAGAAACAGAAAAGGGAGAAGGAGAGAGGTGGGGGGGGGGGGCAGTAAGTCGATAACTCGGCGTCAATCTTGAACTTTATCGATACAATCTGCAAATTAGTCTACATAAATACACGAATTAAACAATCTGCGCACTTCCCTTTTTGCGATGTCGATCAATAAAGCTCGGTGGAGAAACGACGGCATTTCTTTGCATCGACTTTATTAATGTGTATATTTTCTTCGTACCTCCATTTTCTTTAATTCTAGAATCTTTACAAGCATTATAAAGCTATGTTGGCGCTGAAGATTCTTTGTGTTGATTTCTTGAGGTACTTTTAAAATAAAATGCTAATTTTCTTACAATAAATGTATTTGAATATAATATTGAATATGATATTGAATTTTATTTTATTTGTAGATATATACCTTGTTAAAATAAATAAATTGTAAAATGTAAAATATTATACTTACAAAAATTGTTTGAGAAATGTATTTTAAATTTCACACATTTAATAAACGTATATTTCTCTTCAATGGATTTCTAAGAGCGGTATTCTAATGGTAAATTGAATCATATGCTCGCACTACATTGTTAAAGACTTATACATAAACATATGAAGTATCTAAATGCAGTGGTACAATATAATCAAATTTGACAATGAAATAATACATGTATAGTTTGTTAAATAACAAGATAACATTATTAAGTAGTTAATCTTCGTTAAAAATATTTATATACTTTCGCATTTAATTAACTTTCTATAATTTCTACTATATAGCTACTTTAGTATGTACTAATCTTATAGCATAGAGTAATGCCTAGTTTATGCTTCGGTCTTAATTTTAGTCTTAAAAGTTGGCGACAAAGAATGCCATAAGATCGTTTATACTTTCCCAGTCTTAACCATAATCTTATAGTGTTTTTCATTGGCAAAACTAGTGTGCACTCAGTGCACATTAAAACTATTGTACACTATTCTAATCTAAATATAAAAATGAGATACCTCAATTGATAAAATGCCCAAAATTTATTTTATCAAATATCACAATAAAATGTATCGAATATTTCACGGTTTAATTCGTTCATATATATTTTTATTAAACGTATATCTTTACGATTTTTGTACAACGGCTTTAAAGTGTACTGAGTGCGCACTAGTTCTGCCAATAAAAAAACGCTATTATTCTTAGTCTCAAAGTTCCTATCTTTTAACTTTAGTCCTTAAGATTAAGTTAGGACTAATTCTAAGACTAAGATTAAAACCGAAGCATAAACCAGGCATAAGTGATCGAATTTACTCTATAAAGGTTGCGTTTAAATATTCACAGCTAATATACTGAAAATATCTATAGTGAACCGTATGCTGCCATTAAAAAGTTTAGAGTATCTTTAAATTTTGAAAAGATTTAATCAGATTAAAAAATTTGTTTTGACATTGTAAATGTACAGAAGTTTATATTATTTCAATTATAAATTTTATTGCAAGAGTTCCAATATGTTCAAAAATAAAAATTAAAATAAAAGTATTTTAAAATATTAAAAAATAGAAATATTTCGAATAAGATAATTATATCTGTAAAGGATCGTATTTTTATCTAAAAAAATTATAGAATGCTCCAAACTTTAAACGGTAGTGTATGCTACAAATTTTCAAAACTGAATGTTGCTTATTTTTGTTAATGTAATTAAATCTTACATTAATTTATTTTCATCAGCAATTCCACAATAATTTAATTTTAGTTCAATTAATTTTTCATCTTTTTCTAGTTCTAAAAATTAGATCACTTAATCACTTAATTACTTATAGTCATAGATAATCTCAAGATTGACCTGTCACTGAAGTGATCGTAGAGTGTTTCAGAATAAGATAGTACTTAAGATAGTCTCAAATATAAGAGGCTTATTCTTTATTGCTGTACTTATCATTGGACTGTATTAAACTTTTATCTCGTTTTCACCAAACTTCAAATACTTATATGTTTATTTCAATTTACAACAATACATTGATTTAGCCACAAAGATAATAGACCTTAAATATCTGTAACTACGAATATCAGTTTAAATATGTTTACCTTTCTAAAATTAAATAAAGTACATTTGACTATGTAAAGTATAATAGGTAAAGATATACATAGTGATTGACCACAATACAGTAATTGACCACGATACAGTGATTGACCATTTGCTATAAATTTGTCTACGTATTAAAATCCAAGTTAAATTAACAGTTAATTTCGCAACATAATAATAACTGATCTTTATTAACTTCATATATGAATAAAATATTCATTTACAGTCCGTTTTTTTACTTTTCGTAAATTGAACTCGCAAAAAAAAACTACAGTACATAATTAAGAAATACTTAACAGTTCAGTTAAGCGCATGTATTCAAATAGATAAATTATATTTTTATGAAACAATTAATGATATAACTTTTGTTCATCATATATCGCTAGCAAGGTTATGAATATCTCCTACATATTTATTTTTTTAATTCATGCAATAATTACAAAACTGAAAAGGTGGTCAATAACTGTAATTGAGAAAATTCATTTTTTACAGTTATTGACCGTTTATTGTAATTTACATATTATTTACTAAATAATTATTCCTTATGAATAAAATTAATATTTTGAGATGTTATAATATTGTAGGTTTAATTTTTCATTAAAATGTTTAAAATAAGTCGTATGAAACATTCAAGAGGCACTTAAAGATGCCGTTTGTAAAAGACTGAATGAAGCGGCACGAATATATGGCGTACCTAAATCAACACTTAAATTCAGAAAAGATAAACCACTAAATATCAAAATAACAATGAGTCTCTGTCCTATACTTGGAATTTCATTAAATTTATCTCTTTTTCATGTTCTGAATTTTTTTTCTTCGTTTTGATGATTTTCATACTAATGGTCAATCACTGTTATTTTTCTATTCAATAACTCTAAAACTTGTGGTCAATAATTATCATTTTTTGAATAAAAATTTTTACTATTGGAAAAAATGGAAAACATGGTTTCTTATTCAAAGTTTTTTGTATTTGACATATTCTTTGAACCTTACTTAACGTTCGCTTTGCATCAAATTCAAATTTCAAATAATTTTAATAATAATTATAGTGATTATATTAAATTTCAGCACTTAAATGATCAATCACTGTACACTTTAACCTATCTAAAAAAAAGAATTTTTGAGTCTTTTTCTCTTATTTCGTTTTGAATGTGCTTGCTATGCCATACGTTTGTTCTTGCGTTTCTTCGAACAATCAATGTATATCTGTTTTATGTCGGATG